TCTTACATACATAGAGTGAGGGTCACACGTACAATTTTGACCAAACCATATGGAATGCAACAAAATCAAACCATAGGGACGATCCGAATGCAAAAAAAAAGTTAGAGATCAAAAGTGTAATTTTGATCAAACCATAGAGACGATTTCAATAATTTACTCTAATTAAACAAAGCAATGATATATTAGTTCATTTTTAAGGTTAGAACTGGTTTCATTTACATGTTTCGATAATTAAATTGCTATTGTTGTTGTTATTTATTGAGTAATAATTAATTTTCGCTATCTAAGTATTTGCTTAATTAATTGGGGAACAGTAGTTAGGTGAAGTAAATACATGACATATGTATAAGTGCTAATATTTCTGGTGTTGATTTGTACACACCAATATATATATATATATATATATATATATATATATATATATATATATATATATATATATATATATATATATATATATATTTTGTGAGATCGTAAGACCAAATCTAAAAATAATTTTAAAATACAAAATAAAAAGAAAAATCCAAAAATTCGTTTTTTAATTATTATTTTCGGAACTTTAATTACCTAAAAAAGCAAAAAAAAAATTATTGTTTTTTTTAAATACGTGAAATATTCTAATAAAATATTACACTATAAATATTCTAATGTGATTTTTAGAATGTTAGAATATTCTACTAGATTTGTCAGATATGTAGAATATTCTAATATTCTACTAGAATATGTAAAAAAAAATGTATATTTTTTTTTTGGTATTTTTTTAATTGGAAAATATAAATTCCGAAAATAATACTTGAAAAAAAAATTCAAAAATTTTCAATTATTTTGCTCTTTAAAAATGTTTTTTTATTTAACTAAATAAGTAGCTAGAATTGCGTCTTACGATCTCACAAAATTAAACCGTCTCACATGAACCAAACCCTATATATATATATATATATATATATATATATATATATATATATATATATATATATATATATATATATATATATATATATATATATATATATATATATATATATATAACAATTTGTGATTTAAAATGTTATATATTTTATAACTCTATAAAACATAAATTGTTGTTTATGAATTACTCAACTTACTAAATTTTTGCATTTGTAACCATTTTTATTATATCCCCTGGTATTAATTAATTATTTTTATCATGCTTCCATTATTTAATGAGAAATTAAATTACCTCCTACCTTTTATACCTACAATTATTCCTACCCACTAAAGTTATGACAAATCATCATTCAATTTAATTGTATTTGATATATTCCTAATATAGCTTTAATGAGTTAGTTAAATAAATATGGAATGATGACACTTGTCACAATTTTATTGGGTAGGAACATTTGTAGGTATAAAAAGTAGGAATCAATAATAATAAGATGGTTAAGATCAGGTATTATTGTATTTGAATTTATATTTGTATTAAATTATGGCATGCGTAGACAAGTTGTAACCTTAATCTATTAAATTTACTTAACTTTTCAACTGATTGTTGGATTTTTCTTCATAACCTACAAAACGTGAACAAGTTGTGTAAACAACTCAAAATGAGAGCATGATTTGATCATATATCTTTTTATTAATATACAAGTACTATATTCTTTTTGGATTTAGCGATGCAAAAAATATTGAAAGTAGCTATAAATACAATAAGTAAATAACTAATATTAGTTGGGGTTGGATATTCCATTAAATACTGACGGACATGTTTAAAAATATAGCACGAAGTTGAAAGTTGAAAATCGATAGCTGTAAGTTATAGTTTTTATTTAAAGAAGTGTTCGATAAATTAACTCGTAGTTTTTAGATTTATAAAATTACATAAAAACCAAAAGCTAATAGCTTAAAAAAAACTAAAAACACCGCAACAAACTATATGCACTTGTTTTTGGATTTGAAACTATTTGTTCAAATAAAAATTAAAAAATCATACTGAAAAATGAAACTTCCTTTTTTGTTTGAGTTTTTTTTTTCCTTAAAATTTCAAAATTAAAAGTTATCAAAAACACTGTAATAAACACATATTTAGGAATATCGATTGTTAGAAAAGTTAATAACCGTTGATTTGTTATAATTATTAAATTTTCTTTTTTAGAATAAGAAATTTGGTCCCTCTCCTTTAAAAAAAAATTCTCTTTCAATTTGCTAAAAGTAATAAAGTGGATTCCTGTGATGAATTAGTTGCGTGATTTGAAATGTTTTCTGTCATATAGCATTATGATGCATTCTAATTATTATCCAATAGATATATTTATTTATAAATTTAGCTACCTGCCACTTACTCCATGACAAAACCAAATTTTATTCCACATCTTTATATCATTCAATAATATGTTGCTTAAGAAGAAAGTCTGGCATCCTTAACATGTGTATTACCTAAATCAAAATAGAGATCCAAAATTCTACACTTCAAGAAGTTATTATGCTTTCTCCACAAGAATATCTTGAAACATTTCAATTGAAAAGTTGGTGATTCTTGATGCTTGGAGTTGGAGAGTCGAATATTAATTCTTGAAAGAAAAGTTTTTGAATCATGAAAGATGATATTAGGTTGGATTTGGTTACTGAATATTTGGGAAAGTGTTGTATGAAAAAGTTTTTTGATTAGGACAAAACCATGTTTCATTGTACATCTAACTAACTACGTTGAATAATAAAAAATGATCATATTACATTGCTATTTTATACCGTGATGGATAAAGTTTCTGAATAATTATAAAAAAAAATTATCATACAAAATCAAATTACACAATAATCATTTAGAAATCCAAATACAAATTATCATGCAAAGTAATTAAATATAAATCAAATAAAATCCAAATAGAATGTCGATTATTTTGTTTTTAGCTTATTGCTTTTTAAGTTGGAGTTATATTGTTATTCCTTTTATGAATTCTAGTTTTTTTTTATAATCCAATATATGATTTTTGACCCGATTTATGTTTCATAATGATGGGATGGATGAGATTTTTAAAATAAATTAGGATGATAGTGGCATTGAAATTAATCCAATAAAAATGAATTACAAAAATTAAAAAAAAAAAATAACTATCCAATAAAATAATATTTAATAATATATAAATATTATATGTTATAAATAATATTTATTAACATATAATAATCCAACAAGAATTAATCCATAAAAAAGAAATTAAAAAAAATATATATATTTAAAAGAAAGTAATAATCCAATAAAATAATATTTCTTAATATAATTTAGTAACAATCTTCTTTATTAACTTTTGGTTTTTGATAACCTAAAATTAACTTTTTCGGAAATCGACAAAACACTAAAATGCATAGAAAATTTGGCCCTAGTTCGACATATATTGAAATATGTTGTTACTTTACTTAAAAAACTATACACCACCCAAAAATAAAAATAGCCTAAATGCGTTCTATTCGTATGCATGCAACCCTTTAACAAAAGACACAAACTTGCAATCCTCGATACTTAAATTAGACAGACCTCCATCCACATTTTTGGTATAAATGTTGTTACGTTTAAGGTCAAACAAATTACTTAAGAAGGCATGTGGCTACAACTTCTTGAACATCAAAATCAGGGAGGTTTTGACCATAATCAAAATATAAAAAGTTCAAAAGACAAATACTTCCATTCACTAATTACATTCCCTTAATTTTACAAAATTTTCATTAATATCATTGTTCCCCTATCATTCTTCATACTAACCACAATTTTTTTTTCTTCTCATGGAACATTAACCACAAGAGGCACCTGCTCGCTCTATACCATATTTAGCACTTCAAACCCAAAGTTATAGACTAAACGAATACCTTCATTATCAAATTGTTGCCAACATATTAACGTTTATAAGTGAATTTTATATCCATATGGGGCATATTATTACATAGAAGATAAAAAAATGATCATAGAAGAAACGTACAAATGCAACTCATAAGACCTCATCACCATGGTATAACACTATGAGATCACAAAAGGATTCGTGATTAAAAAGGGTTTTGTTTTATTGTTCATAAGAGTTTGCAGAATCAAAACAAAGTAGTACACTAATCCAACAAAAAGAGACAACAGTAGACAATAAGATCACAACCCCGCTTGTTATGTATGAGAGGTGATAGAACAAATTGTACCGTATTTAGTATGCACCAAACTAAGACTAAGATTTAGTCAAATATCAATTGGAAAAAAAAGTACAATTATGTGTGTGTTTGTGGGTCCCACATTACAAAAAATTGAACTAGATCCAGATAGATATTAGTTGACACGAGAATATAAGTCATGTTATAATGTTAAATAACAAACCTTTAGTTTTCCTCTTCGTCCTTATCATAAAAAATAGCCCTAAAAAGCGTATTCAGTTCTCACAAATGAAACATAAAAGATTCAAGATTTTAAAACCGCTTTGTTTTCTAGGATTCCTAGATCATAATCCATCCATGATACATATAACATTTGTATAAAGAGACAGCAGAATCACATCAAAATGGCAACATACTAACAAAAGCAAAAACAGAGAAACAAAAGGCTCAATGAGAAGCCTATGAATTGAACAAAATGTGAATTTAGTACAATGTATACGTTCCATTAGATCAAGCATGTAGCTTATTTTTCTCTTGGGAAATATCAAGAAATTAAAGACCATAAAAACCATATATCAAACTCTTTCGACCCTTTTTTTTTCTTTTTTTTTTGAGAGAAAAAAAAGCTATCTACCAATCTATCACTTCAAGTTATTACCCTGTTGATTCAAAGTGAAGGTAGACACAAAACCTCTAAAAAAAAAAAAAAAACATACTCAAGACTCTCACAAACGTTAAAAATCTCAAGTAAAATTCGAAAATTTTGTCATAAAAAGAGTCAAAAACACCGACCTTTTTACCTTTTTACCATTTCCAAACACCAACCTTCATCATCAGCACCCCATCACCGCACAATTGTAAACAAAGTTATTCGATTGTTTCCGTCCAAGTAACCGCCAACGTGGCGGACCTTCTCGTGGGACCCACGAATTAACTTCAATAAAACCCGCCCCGATTGCCCGGGGCCCACCAATAACAATAACCCGGTCACCACACCCTCTAAAAGCAATCCCCCAACCATTCATGGAGTCTGCCCGTTCGGGCAGCCTCCCAACCGTCTCCCATTCCTTTTTTTCTTTATCATATTTTCTCACTTCCATATCCGCACAGTCAGCAGCATACAACTCATTATCCACAACCGCCACTAATGGTGGTGCCTCAGTACGAGGCACCACCACTGCTCCCGCCTCATTGGCGGGAGGAGTCCCCGTTCTCACCGGAGACATATTCGGAATCTCTTTCCATTCCCGCGTTTTCAAATCATATTCCTCCCCACATGCCAACGGTGTCATTTCCGGACCTCCGATTCCGCCGATTACATAAAATTTATCATCCATGAAAACCCCGGAACACATCTTTCGAGGTTTAATCATACACGGAAGTGTTTCCCATGTACCCGATTCACTATCATAAAGTTCGGCTGAATTTACGATTTTGCCATTGGGATCACACCCACCAGCAACAATTGCTATTTCCCCTAGACTCGCTGACCCAAATAAACAACGTGGAAAATTCATATTTAGACCTAAGCACCATGAATTTGTTAATAAACTATATTTATAAATCACGTGATCTAGAACTTCTTTACCCAATACAAGTAACTCAGTCCCAACAGCTAAAGATTCTTTATCGGAAAATTGAAAACATGGGTTTGACGTCATTGTGGGTAAATGCATCCAACGTGAAGTGATTGGATCAAAAGATTCCCATTCTACGAGGTGGCAAGAGAAATAAACCCAGTGTTCGATTATCCCATTTTTTCTTCTTAATCTATAAAGTTCGCCACTTCTAACAAGCTCACGGAAGCTACGGCTTAATGATGCAATTGAACCATAATCCGATCGTGAACATTTCATTAGACATGTGAGTGAGTTGTCACGATCGAGACCATTGATTAGAGAGGTTGAATCGGAATTATCTCCAGATTGATCTTGACTATTGGAATGATTGGAAAAGTCGAGGAACCCTAATTTGAGTTGTGGGTTTTGTAAACTGTTTGATTGTTTGGAGATTTTTCGGGGATGGGTATGATCGAGTTCTTCGTTTTCATCATGTTCTAATGGTCGTTTTCCTTGTTGGGATTCTAGTCTTTCTATCCTGTAATTGCTCATATAACTCCAAGTATTGTGACTATTGTCCCTTTCGCGACTGTAACTTCTTGAAACAAAACAAGATCGATCTTCCAACATGTCGCCCTAATTTGGACCTGAAAGATGACGACTTTTTGAAAACCGGAAAGAACCCTTATATCCTCCAATCAGCAACGAGAAATTTTGAAGCTGAAATTTGATAAAAAGTGAAAGAAATTGTCAAAATCAGTGATGACATACCTGTCATACCCTAATCATAATCTTGATATTGATGTATCGAGAAAAGAAGTCCGAAACAATATAATGAAATCCCTGATTCAAAATCTTGAATTTTTCGCCTTTAATTCAAGAAAAACCTGAGTAATCAAATGCATTTAAGATTCATATGAAACCGCTATCTAGAAGATCTGGGATAGATTAAGTAGACTAGCAATCAAGAAAGTCGGGTAATTAATTAGCTTTCAATTCAGAATAAAAATCGAGACTTTTCTAAGCTAGATATGGTATTACGAACGAATTAAAATCGAAAAACAGAAAACAACTTTTAGATCTTTTAATCTCAAGATCAAATAACAAAAACCATTAATCCAATCGAACAGCAGTTTCGGAAACCCTAGAAAAAACTAATTAAAAATCAAAGCAATTGATTTCGTTGTTATAAATTAAATCAAATTAGATCTGTTTGAGTGGAGATTACAGTAATCAAACAAAAGGGTATTTACCTTACCGATTGGATAAGACGAAAAGATGAAGAAAACGCCCCCTTTGCGTAGAATTGTGCCCCCAAATATACCAAAATCGCTTCTTTCTCTCTCTACATAAGCAAGTTAGTCTGAAAAATGCTTTCTTTTTTCTATCTCCTTCTTCATATATATGTAAAATCTGTGTGTATGTGTAGATGAGCAGCTTCTGTTCTTAGCGTTTGATGAAAAAAATTATTTAAAAAAATAGGAAAAAATAAATAACTTTGCTTTTAGATATATATGATGTATATCTCTCCCTCCTCCTTCCTTCTCTCTCTCTTTCTAAAATCTGCAAATCAAAAGGCTTTTTAGGGCGAAATCGTTGGGGGTGGAGAAAGAGAATAAAAGAGGGGTCGTTTGATTTATAATTTATTCTGATTATTTCTTTGATTTAAAAAATAACAAATCTTTTTTAATATAATATATATTTTTTTATTTATTTTATTCGTTTTCTAATCGAAACAGCTGTATGCATATTACTACCACATACATATACAGCAAATAAAGATTTACGCATAGAGAGAGAAAGAAAGAAAGAAGAGACGGCGGAGGAAGACGGCGGCAAGTGGTGGTTGTTCTGGTGGCTGTGGGACCCACAACCAACTAAAATCCTTTTTTTCTCTCTTTGTGTTCGAGTCGCCTCACCGTGGACGACTGTGTTTAATTAAGGGTAGTGGGAGGTAACCAGTAACCGGAAATAGCCGGTTTTGAACGTGTTTCTGTAACGGGGGCGAGTAAATTGACTCGTTTTCTCCACGACTCTATGATCGATGAGTCGTTTTTTTTTTTCTTCAATTTATCGTATTCATTTTATCGTATCGCGATATTTTGATTTTATGTTTGTGTGTTTTACGGAACCATTCTTCTTCATCGTTTTTTGAAAGGTGGTGATATGTTGTTGCAACGTAGGCATCTACTTTTTGTGTTCTTAGTTTTGACCAAAAAAGTTGTTCGACGACGTGTTGGTTTCAATTTTGGCTTTTGATTGAATGGAAAAAAGTAAACACGTTTTTAGTTGTGTATTTGTATCATGATTTCTTTGTAAATAAACTGTTTAAAGTTTTTCATAAGATTAAAGTATGATAAATTATATAACTTTTTGATTTTTTCTATAATGTTAAGACTCTTAAAAGACCGGTTATGTTCGATCAACTAGCATATTTGAATTAATAATGTGTTTAACGAATAGGTTAAATGGGAAACTTTTGAAGCATGGGTCAAATATTTATACGTACAACATTGACATGGTCATGTGAGTCGATGGTCGTATATGATTTCACAAATATGTAAAACTATGGATTAATAAAGTTGGCATTAGCCATGGGCAATCAAATATATATATTGTTGTTAAAAAAACGTTTTTTTGTCGGAAAATAACTTATTATTGTGACCTTCACACTAATTTCTTAATGATTTAATATGTTTGATACGATTATATTATGAACAATAATATTTGCCATAATAAATATCAGATCCTATGATTATTTATTTGTATGATGATGGATATGACATTTGTCCATAATTTGAGAGGTAAAATTCATATGGTTCTAAATTTCCCCTTGAGATGTAATTGATAAATAAAACACACACACATCCGAAAGGATGTATGTTTCTTGAGAGGTAACAACGTTACATTTCTTAAACCTCTCTACAAATACCATCATAGTGTGCGTGTGTGATTCCATCAATAAGAATCGATATGTTAGACACCGTCAGTGGATGAGCTTGAACAATTAACTTAGGGGGTCCGAAAATATTATAAATTGAAATTAACATTCTTAAAAAAATGTTTTCAACAAATAAACACCAAAAACACATAGAAAAAAAATTACAACTCAACCCAACGACACTTAATGTCTTTAAATGCATCAATTACAAACTTCGAATCAATGTTTTCATCAATTTCTCTTTCTATCTAAATCACCAAGTTGTTTGCGAGAAAATCATCCGACATCTTATTGTGAAGACGGTTCTTGAATATTTTCATTGCTGAAAATCCTCTCTCTGTTGTTGCAGTAGAAATTGAAAGTGTCAAGTTTAACCGAACCACTCTATCAAGCAAATACTACGTCTTACGTTTCCGAGTTTCCACAATACGCTTGCATAGGCCAACAATAGTTGATACACCACTTAGCCTGAGATTCTTTGTGATATCAATATTAAAAATCTCCAATTGATATCGTAATTGAATCGTCTCTTGCTCTGTAAAATCTTCAAGATAATACTTCTCAACAAGAAGACAAATTTGATCAACATTAATCACTCTAGAAACTAAAGTAGAACTAAAACTTAACGACTCCATCGTCAGATCATTGAATATACTATTCAACTCATGTAACTGTTTGTCCAATGTGGCTATAAACATTTCCACTCAATAAAATTGTTCAAAAGTAATATGATTATCTGTTATTCAAGGCCGATATCGAGTATAAGTATATGGAGTATTCATATCTGGCATATTTATTTGATGTTTTTCACAAAAAAAAAAACATTTACTTGTGCAAGTAAAGACTCCCATCCCTTGTTTCTGAAATCATTTAGACTCTCCTTTGTTGTGACTAACTCCATGGCATTAAGAATATATTGGGATTTCTTTTGTAGAGCTTGAGAAAGTATATCAGTTTTCCCATTACTTCCTTTATTAGGTGAAGAATAAACACAAACTCAAATGATTTCAGATAACTGTAAGCTGCATCAGCATCTCCGCGTTGAGAATAAGTAGCAGATACGTCATCAATTATTCATTGGAGAACAACACGAGTACAAGCAAACATGTTAAGCAAACTGCAAATGGAACGAAAAAGAGAACCCCAACATGTATCACCAACTTTTCTTAATGTCCCAACGTGATTCAATCATTTACCTGATTCGATTTCACCTAGTTCCAATAATCGTTCAATCTCAGTTTCCTTTGCCTTTTGTAACTCATCATGACGCTTACTTGAAGCACAAACTATGTTAATTGTAAAAATTAAGTTTGTGAAAAATTGGTGTACCAGAATAATTTCCCTTGAAGCAACCACCAAGGCTAGTTGCAATTTGTGAGCAAAGCAGTGAACATAATATGCATAGGGACAATCCTCATTCTTCTGTTGATTTTTCGTTTCTCGCAGTTGTGGCTCACTTGTTGAAGCTTTGTGACGTTTACTCTCTTCACTTTCATGATTAGTTTCTGATGAGACTAAAAAGTCTTTAAGATCGATTAGATTCTTAACATGAAAACCAAGAACTTAAATTAAACAAGAACACAATATGAATCAAGTTATTGTCGAATGATTAAAAAGCCACAACCTCAGAAGAATTCTATGAAGAATTGCTACTGTAGAGGTGTGGTAGGGTTACAATGCAAAAGATTAATCAACAATTACCATCTATGATGCATGCATGCACTATATATACTATAACCCTAATAATAAATACGGCTGGACAAGCCCAAGCCGTGTACAGAATGGACATATACAAAATGGCCCAAAGACGCAATCCAATTATCCCCAACAATGTCCCCCTTTGCGTCATTTGGGGCGAGAGAGCTTCACTAATGTGTCTTCTTGATGGTCTTGAAGAGTTTGGGAAAAACAACAAGCAAAGTCCTGCGAAACAGGATGTACCAGCGAATCATGTCATTAAAGTGCCTCTTTGCAGCATCATCATTCAGGTTGCACTTGTTGATAATTTCCAAGACATGTTCCAGACAAGACATAGAGAACAAATGGTTGTCAGGCAGAGCAAAAAGACATTTATGAAAAGTTCCAGCAACTTCGGTCCTTTGCTGAAACATCACAGTCAAGTGAGCCATATTAACTTTTCCCAAAGTCATTTCACTCATGTCGCTGGCTTTGCCGATTGGATTAACGGTAGGCTTTCTCTTCATAACCTTGGCTATCTCAATGTCGAGTTTCGCCGCTTCATAAATGTATGAAACCAACATTCTCTTCAGATAAGAAATGATAGGTTTGTTAGATTAATGTCTAAGTCCATAACTATAATTGGTAAGATTTGACCCAACCAGACATGGTCCATTTGGGTTGCATGGCATAAGGACAATTTGATAGACAAGATGAGGAAAAAGGATACTAGTGATTTATATTAATATATTATAAGCTCTAATATATTAATATATAATCATATTATTTAATTAGTATTGATCAAGAATTAATTTATAATTATTTAAGTGATCAAAAGGAACTAATTAAATATGGACTCTTAGATATATATGTGTGATGGGCCAAGTTCATTTAGGTTGGGCTAAGCTTTCATGCATAGTCCATGGAGTGTTTAACCCATGGATCATATGAAATGAAGGGTCATGGGTTTAACCCTAATCTCCGTACTATATAAAGATGTCCTTGCTTGGTG